CAATTTGAGTACACCTATCTTTATTTGTATAAGAATTCGAGTGAGGCACACATATATATTCCCATACTTGACAGAACGCCAAGTCAAAGTATAGAGATCAACCATGTAGTTGTGTAATGTTCGTATGTGCCATTAGAATGTTCGTTGTTGAAGTTGAACATGTTCAAGCTATCTTGTTAATGACTGTTGTCCATGCTCGATTTTAGGTCTGTGTCTCGTCTTTTCTTTTCTTTTTGTTCGGGATGAACAAAGGTTTAAGTGTGGGGGAGTTGTTTGTCTCATTTTTGTTGTGTTTTTTGTGTTTATTTTATCTTTCTTTATCTCCCATTTTAGGTCGTTTCTTTAGTTTTTAGTCCATTTCGTGTTTAATTATATGTTGTCCTTCATTTTGAGTCTTTAGGTGTTTTTCGTTTGTTTTTCTGGGTTTTTTTTGTGTTTTGTCGTTTTTGGTGTGTAGGTCGGGAGCTTCGAGCAAATTTTCTCTTCAAGAAAAGTTGACTTCGACAGCATAATTGGATAGAGGGGTTCGTTAGCGACGCGTAGGAAAAAACAGAACTCAGTTCCGAGTTCGGATGAGCTCAAACAAGGTGAAAACGCAAAATGGCGCAGTGCAGCCCAGAATCTCGCGACTCGCGAGCATAAAGTCGCGATTCGCGAGTGCATGTCCTGACTCGCGAGAGAAAAGTCGCGACTCGCGACTTTAACAGAGTCTCCCAGCGCCCGACCTGTTAGACTCGCGACTCGCAACTCAACTCGCGAGTCGCGACCGTTCAACCCCTGTTTTTTATTTTGCTCGTTTTTCTCGTTTTAGCTCCGTTTTTCGAGTTCTAATATCAAACGACCCTCCAGGCCTAAGGAACAACCCCTAATACCGTTCCTTTCAATTTTTCTCTCCAAAAACTCAATATTGTTAGGATAATTTTTTCCGCTTTTCTTTTTATTTTCTGATGCTTAGATTGTTGGACAAAAACACATTTAGATTGAAATCTTGCAAGTCTTAATCCAATTGTAAGTTTTTCAATTCTATTCTATTAATGTTGATTGGTTTTCTGTTCTTAATTCTGGTTAACATGAGATTGAATCTAAGCATGAGGTAATCCGTTCACCTAGGGTTAGGGGTTTTGATTCTTGTTTTGAATTATGAGAAATGTGTTTTGTTCAATCCATACGAGTTGTGTGAATTATAGGGTTAGTTGATTGATCACCATTCTAACCTAGATAATCGACGTTTATAACCGAGAGGGGAAATGTGGGTCGATTTAGGCTCGTATAGAGTAGACTTGTTCGGCAACGTATTGTCTATGTGTTGCTTGTTTGAATGAGTTTATCGTTTATGTATGTGCTCTTGTTACAAAGAGTTATTGAGCATAGCCCTCTAGACGTTTATTAAATCTCGTAACCGAACAAACAAGCGTTCAACATAATTTAAGACTTGATCAGATTTCCCGACCCCTAGAATTTCTTCCTTTTCTCTAGAGATTTAATTATTATTTCTGTAAACTATTTTTCTAGTTCTAGATAGTTTTGTCAATTCCTCAAATCAATCGTGATTAGAGTGTTTAGTACTTATTTTCTTTTCGTGTGTTATCAATACCAACGCTAAATTCTGGACCGTCTTCCTCGAGAGATCAACCCGGGGAATGAATCTTTTGATTCGGTACTCGGTAAAAATAAAAATAATTTGCTACAACACCGATCTGCCGAACCGGTCGAAGATGTTGTACCGTAAGGAAGCCGAGCCATGTAGCAAAAAAGATCGACCAGTCGAGTAGTCGACCAGCCAAGTAGTCGAGCAATCAAGCAGTCAAGCAATCAAGTAGTCGAGAAATCAAGCAGTCGAGCGGTCGAGTCGATCTCAATAGATCGACCACTTTATGGGTTGGCAATATTCTGGAGACCTACCTAGTCACAGGCGCGTGTAAGAGCCTCTAACCAAATTTCAGGGGAATATTTAGAGGAATTATCATCCCATGTGCAGAGGACACGTGGCGAGAATGCATTGGTTGACAGCGAAAACCACCTCTGACATACGCGCGACATGCCAGAGTACGGACGGGCAGCTGGGGCAGCCATCTCACCATACACGGGCAGCTCTTAGGTCAAGTATCTCACCCCTATATAAAGGGGGGTGAGCCTTTCTTCCTACACACGATTTCTATTATTCAACTCAAGTATACTCATACACATACTTACTTAAGCATCGGAGGCTATTCACCCGAAAAACCCCTGGTGTGAGAGTTATTTGCAGGTTTCCGGCGTTCTACCGGTGAGGACAAGAAGCGATCTATCTCAAACCGGTCCAGGATGCTCACACTTGCATTAGCTGCCAAGGCTCTCCCGCTCGTGCATAGGAAGCCCGTTTGACCCTTACGTTGCCCGTTTCGTAACCCCATATTTCGCTCCTATTTGTGTGTAAATGCTCGTATATGTGTTGTTATTGCTGAACGTATGAATTTCGAACTAATTATGTGCCGTAGATATGTATTTGATTGAATTTTGATATATATATGCCTTTTCCATATCAAAGTGATTACCGTCACTTCAAAAAATTGTCTAACTGAGTTTACCGTAATATAAACTGTGGAATTGCTGTGGATTATTGGATTTAGGAATGTCCTTGACGCAATGGCTTTGGCTTTGTGTCGTTTCGATGTGTATATTGTGAGATATGAATTTTTGAAAATCATATTGCAGCCGATTTTTGCTAAAATCACCATAATTCGTATATTTCTCCAAAAATTCTGATTTTAGGATATGTGGTAATGTAGTTGTTATATTACTTTCAGTAAAAATTTGAGATTTTTTTATTGCCTGTAGCCTTGTCAAAACTCGAAAACTATTTCTGGGCTGTTTCTTAATAAATTCATATAAAACCGAGTTCCTGTCCGAAATGGCTAATTTTTTTATATGTTGTTGTTCTATATGATTTCTTGCTTCTGTAAAAATTTCGAATTTAAATTCCGACTGTAGTTTTTTTAAATAATTTAATTCGATTTCTGGTCAGTTTTTACATGATTTATTTAAATTGGTTAGGAGCATGTTTAGGGGCTTTCCTTTGGTGAAAATGTGTGTTTTTCAATCCCTTATGTGATGTAAAAATTTGAATTGAAATGTCCAAACCTAACTCCTTATAGCCCTATTCTTATAAATTCGAACTAGTTCGTTTAACCCGTTTTTGGCACCGGTTGGCCTTGTTGGCAAATCCTTGACCTGTTGACCCTGTTTTCCTGTCAAACCTTCATTGCCTGTTTTTATATGATTTATTAATTGGTTGGTCGAGTCTAGGAGTCGTCCTAATATTCCAACTCCACAACTTCCACGAGTTTCTTAGTCGATGTGATTTGACTAAGTATAATTCTTGTTATCTGTGTAAGAGTGGAGATAGTCGCTTATGGGATTGTCTTGACTTATGTAGGTATCTGACGAGCAGTGTCTCAACCACCTACGACTTTCTGGTTAATTTGCTTTATCATCCGGCACTAGGTGGGTTTTTAATTATGAAATTGCTATGCTTTAATTAATTGTTATTGTTGTGGTATGATTAATGTATGCATATGGACCATGTAGCCTTTGATGTGAGCTGTACCGGCCGTCGAAGGGTTATCCCGGTAGCTATAGAATGTGCCTTTGGGTAGTCTCATTTATTTATGTATGGCAGTCAGGGCGCTAGCCTTGGTTGGTGATCCTCGTATCTAAGGCCAAGGCGTGAGGTTTGGCATTCGGGGTGGATTTACTCCTGCTGGCTGGGCATCGATTGTAAGACCCGAGGGGCATTTCGATACGTGTATCAGTTCAGTGATCTATTGGTATAGGTGTGCACATGAGGGTTGACTCTGGTATAAGAGATAGGATATTAATTGATTTGTGTTCATATTGCGACCATACCTGCTTTATTTTATGAATTTGTATATTAATTATTGCGTAGCGGTGAGCACCTCGTTTTTTCTATTGTGCTCATTTCCACCTGCTCTTCATGGATGCATGTTAGTATTTACGGGCACGATAAGAGAAGGCAAGTGGTGGTCATGTTACTGATTCTATTTCTGCTGTTTGAACTGCTTAGTATCATTTATGCATTTCTGAATTATGTTGATTATCAGACTATTGATAGGGAGTGTACTCCCTAATATTTATGAATTTGAGAAACCCAGTTTTGGGAGAATCATGGTTGATGAACCCGGTTTGGGTATTGACCTGATTATTGAACCCGTTTTAGGAGTTGCATTTATGATATTGTTGGAAAATGGTTATTCAATGAGTAGCGCCTCAAATGTTTGGAAATAAATTTTGAAAAATTTATTCTAAAATTCGTCAAATAAAAGTGGGGCATTACAGTTTGGTATCAGAGCCAGTCTGCGTTTCTGTAGACTGGTCTAAGTATGAAAATTTGTTCATGTGAATATATGATTGACCTTGTGTTATGACCACTCGCTCTCGTCGTACCGCGCCAGCTCAGGTATGAGTACCTGAATAGTTTTGAGATTATTGTGCATTACTTGATGATGATATGATAAAACGGGGCTTAGGATCTATCCACATATGTTTTAAATTTGGACTCTAGTGTTGAACTCTAGACTTCTTCTATTATTGTGCTAAACTTTTCTGTTGTTCAATGTAGAACTATGGCTCGCCATAATGCTCGCAACCATCAGCCTACTCCGTCTCCGTCTACGTCTCCACCTCACCAGCAGGCCCCCGACCCTGCTGGGGCTCATTTGAACATGGTTCTTTAGTTTCGGCGTTTATCTCCACCAGAATTCGTTGGGCCTGAAGGGCCCGAGGCAGTGGCAGAGTGGATCCATCAGCTAGAACATAATTTTGACCTTCTGCAGCGCCCGGATGCTCAGAAGGTTATATGTGCCCGTTATATGCTGAGTGGCGATGCCGCTTTATGGTGGTCCATCTACTGGAGACTGAGGTAGGTTGAGCTGAATATTTTGACTTGGGAGCGTATGAAGGAAGTGATCATGGAGAAGTATTATCCTATGAGATAGCATGAGGATAGAACGCGCTTTCTGGGACCTTACTCAGGGGACCGACACAGTCGAGGATTACGAGCAGAATTTTACCTGTATGAGCGCCTTTGCTCCACATATGGTGGACACTGACCTGAAGAAGGCCTCCAAGTTTCGGGATAAAATGAACTGAACCCTCCACAGGGGGCGATTTCAAGGGTCTAACTCCAGTGTAGACTCTATAGGACTATTCTAAATTGGATATACATCCTGCTAGCCAGTGAAACCTCCACTACGATGAGACAATTATCTGAGCCATCCAGCTGGAGAGTTATCAGACTCTCGATGCTTCTGACCCTCCTGCTCAGCTAGTCCATCCCATCTCTTTCGTGCCGCCCGACTCTAGTTTGGGAAAGAGGAAGTCTGGTTACCCTCAGAACAAAAAGGGGAAGAAAGGAAACTTCGGAAAGCGCGACAACCGACCTGCTCAGGGCAAGTATCCAAAGTGCCCTAAATGCGGCCGTTACCACCCGGGGGAGTGCCGACACGATCAGAGGGTTTGTTTCAACTGTCAGTGCCCCGACCACTTTTACCACGACTGCCCTGAACCAAAGTGACAGCCACCATACCAGCAGCCCTATCAGCAGCAACAGCTTCTCCCTTGATAAAGATCGCGTGTCCCGACTACCGATAAGCCACAAACCAGTGCCTTGAATCGCCGATAGTTGCCTAGAGGTTCACAACCCGCACCCCTCTAAATGAATAAAATTGCAATAGAAATCAAGAGGAAATCTAAGACAAAGTGTTTGAACAAAATTTCGGATTTTTATTAATAAACTTGATAATGAAAAATAACATAAGAAAGGGGCCTTTATATAGGCACAAAATATATCTAGTCCTAATCTACCTAGGGAACTAATAAAGCAATAAAATATTAAGAATCCTAATTAAGCTAGAAATCATAAGGCAATAGGGAAACTAAATAACTTTGCTTGCACTCCAAGGTTCTCTCTATCTCTCTCGACCGCCCCACGCACCGCCTCCCAACGCGCGCCGCCTTCGCCCCTCTCCCTAGTCCTCGAGGACTAGGGCACCGCCTTTCGCGCGTGCTCTATCACCAGGCGTAATGCGCACGCTAGCGAGCGCTGCGCCGCCCCCGTGCACATGGCCTCCCACCAGTCCGCTTTCTTCGAGGCGTAATAATTTACTGATACGGAAGTGGTCATCAACCCAGGCGAGTCGGAGGACGAAGGTGGCGATGGTCTCGATATTTGGCTAGAAAATATGTTGGAGGAGCCATCTAGTCCTATTT